TAGAATGAATAAACTTTAAAAAAAAAATGTGTATTTCTATCCTTAAACATATTCTATAGAATTTAATGTTCATCTTTTGAGATGATATGTTATTCTTTGAACTATGTTTGATTATGGAAATATTAATTTTTAAAACCCTATTTTGATATTGAATCCATTGTAGAATATTATGTCGGCCTCTCGAGACCGTACTTTATTCTCAATGCAGTATTCGATTACAAAATAGGAGAAAATCAAAATCTGCGTGGTGACATAAATTTTCCCACCAAGGTTTTTCTGGCAACTCCGCTGGGGATTATGTTGATGCTTCTCTTCAACCCTCATATAAAACAAGAATTAGTGGAGTTTTTTGAGACAACAAGGGAGTATTCCTATTAGGGTTTGGCAAGAAATGTCTTCATTGGGATATATCACATTTGGAACTCTTTTCTATTCAAGGTATTGGAGAAGTTATGAAAGATTTGATGCATGATTTCGAGGGAATCAACATTGAAGGGGACAGCTACAATATCATCAGATTTTTCGATGATATGACAAACAAAGAAGGAAAAAATTGGTAGAATTCTCTTTTTTAAATAGTTTCAATATTAAACAGTCAGTGAGGAGAACTATTCTGGTTTTGACGAAGTGAGGAGAGAGAAGGTCCACAAAAAGAGGAAGGTTTTTGAAGAATTATTCGGGTGCCAACATTGCAAATGGAAGAAGGTGGTCGGTCATCCTTGGATGACCGGAACACCTCAAACATATTATCTACCGCGATTCCAACTCCATTGGATTCAAAAGATAGATTTTCATTCAATCACAGCATTTATTGCAATTTTATGAACTCTTCTCTGATTATCAGAGAGGGATGTTTGGTATCATTGAAGAAGAAGATAGTTCCAGAGACATGAAAAGGTAAAGAAATTATTTCTGACTTCAACAAGAAGTCATTCTCAAGTAGGTTGGTTTTTCTCCCTAAACCTAATGATATGGAAGCTTCTTCTTCGGGTTACAAAGATAATTATCCTTTGATGAATGATGTTGGTGGTGGTAATTCTTCATCTGGAATGGATAGTTCTAACGTGTGGATTAAAAAACCACATATTAAAATTATTTTTAATGGAGTTGTTGATGGAAATGAGGATGGTAATGTTGTCTAACTTGATATGGAAAATGAAAAAGACAATGTTCAACTTTTGAGAAATTCATTGGTGGTAAAAATTTTGTGTAAGAACTTGCCTCTTTCAATATGCTCTTTTGAATTAAGGAAGTAATGGACTAAATTTGGAGGGTTTCATTTAACCTCTCTTGGTTTGGATTGGCTTTTGTGTTCTTTTCAATCCTTTGAAACAATGGAAGAGGTTCTTAATGGAGGACCTTGGTATTTTGGGGGATTTGTCATTGGTTTAGATAGATGGTCTTGTAACTTCTCCCATATCTCCATGGATGGGATTTCTTCTCCCATTTGGATTCATCAACCTCATCTTCTTCGACATTGCTGAGATGAAACCAATATTACTAGAAACGTTTCTAGATTTGGAACTCCTTTATTATTAAATGGCAACATGTTTAGATGGGGAAGAAAGGAATTTGCTAGAGCTTGTGTTCATATTAAAATAAATTCCAAGCTTCCTTGTGGCATTTGGGTTGAAGGTCCTAATGGGAGATTTTTTCAAAGGTTTAATATAAGAACATTTCATCTATTTGTTTCAAATGTGGAAGGATTGGTCATAAAGATTCTATAGGTCCAAATGTACCTAATTCACTGAATTTGGTTGATAATGAAGTTGCTAAAGGTTCTTTTCAAGTTGATAATAACACTCATGGGACTTGGATGCATGTAAAGTTTAAAAATAGAAGAAGGAAAAAAACTTTATTTGATGTGAAGAAAGCTGATTTTCTCTCTAAGAGTAATCATGTTAACATAAATTCAGGTGGGAATCCTGAAGTAATTAAGGAAAGTGTTGCTCATATTGTATCTAATAAAATTACTCCGGATCTTGAAGATTCCAATAAATACAATGTTCTATCTCATGAAGAAAATGATATTATGGTAGTTGAATAAGATTTTGTTAACAATGCTAATGTGGAGAAAATTTTAATTGAAGAATCTATATGAAATTTAGTAAATTCTAGATAATCCGATGGATTGTTCTAATGAATTGATTGCTGATCAGTTTATTCATAATCTTGTTCCTAATTCAGAACTTGCAGCATGTATCCTAGATGGAGTTAACAAATTTGGAAATGCTAAATCGGCATTTGTGGCTGGTATAACAGAAATTCAAATTTCAGAAGTTGTACCTGCACGAATGCTGGATGGAGATAAGGAAGTTGTTAAAGATGAGTCGGCATCTGTTGCTAGGAAAATAGAAGTTCTTAATTCAAATTTTGAATTCAAAGTTGCTCAAATACATGATTGAAGAGGATGCTGTTAATGCTAGAATTTCTACTCCTGTTTCTGAACCGAATGGTGAGGATGTTGTTAACGCTAGAAATTCTTTTCCTGTTTTTGAACCCAATGGTAATGTCCGTTCATATTATAATGTAGAGTCTAGTGTAACTGAAGTTTATTTAGACGGTGCTGGAGAGTTTAACGGAAATATAGCAGCTATTGAAACTGAATTTGTTACTCCTACCTCTGAGGTAAATTTAAATTTTAAAAAGCCTATGTTAGCCAAAGGGATAACCTCTTTTATTTATTATTCTTCTAGTTCCAAGCACAAACTCTTCAAAGAACTGCAAACATTAGGACCGGTGGACGATTATCCTCGTAAAAGAAAGGCATATCTCAGTTCTAAAATAAAGAAGAGGGGTTTCTCCCCTTTCATTCTTTAAATGATTTCTCATTCTTACAATGGTACCAACATCACGGAACTTCTCGAGAGATACTTGATGATGCAAATTAGGATCAAACAGTATCTCAGATTACTTGCTCTGGATCAAGGTTTTGGCTTTTGGAAGTGGCACCTAAGGAATCACTTAGATGTTTTCTTAGGAGTTTTTTGTTTATTGGTGAATACTTGTAATTTCTTTCTTAAGTTTTTTAGTTTAGATTGCTTTTTTTTAGCATCTTATTTGTTTTCTAAACTTATTCTAATTGATTAACAAATCAAGATTAGGTCATATTTTTAACCGGTTGGGAACTCTTGGATACTAATCAACCTAATAGGTTTTTTTATTTTTAGTATCCCCTCCACCCCAAGGGTTTTAAAATAGGAAATAGTGTAGTGGGTCTCATTTCAATTAGGGTAAGTTTAGTTTAACAAATAGGCTTTCAATAAGGTTTCTTTCCCTGTTGGATCAAGAAACCATTAGTTTTTTCTTTGGTTCTAGTTTGTACTAGGTTGTTATTTCTTTCCTTTATTAACGCAATTTTGCATTTCTTAAAAAAAAAAAGTTTCAATAATGTCATTTTTAATTGTATAGATAGGGAAAATAATAAGTTTGCTGATTTATTTTCTAACTATGCTATCTTTAGCTCTTTCATTTAGGAAGACATCTCTTTGGATAAGATTCCTCCTTGTTTTGTTAAAATTTTAAAGGAGGAATCAGATGCTTCTCCTGGGTAGTTTGTAATCCCTTTTATTGTCTTTTTTAATATAGCTTCCTACTTCTCTAAATAAAAAAAAGAACTAACATTGTGATGTATGAACAATTCAAAATTAAATGTGTTTGCCTGGTATGAGATGGTACAAACCTTATTTCATATATTATCAGTAATTTTTATGAACTAATATTATAAAATATTAATGGTTAACACAAATCATGTTTTTTTTTTTTTTTTTAAGAAAATGCAAAAAAATTTCATTAAAAAAATGCAAAAAATTTCATTAAATAATGAGATGGAAAAACAAACTACAAACTAAAAACATTGGATTCCTCCATTAAAAAGATATAAAAAAAGGAAGAACCTTATTCACACTAATTTCATCCCAAATAAAAGAGCTAATAAGAGCATAGTTAGCATGTAAGTCTGCTAACTTATTATAGCTTCTATTTATACAATTAAAGATTACATGATTAAATTCTTTGATAGAATGAAGAGCTTCCAACTTTGGATTACCACTTAATTTTGCCTCTTGAAGAAATTGATAATATTAGCATTGTCCCATGCTATGAAAATACCCTTATATTTATACATCCAATCTTTCACCACCTCCTTGAAAGAATGAGTAGAAAAATGATCCAATGAAGAAATAACCTAATGAATACAAGACTTACCAAAAGCCAAAAAAAAAAACCATTCTTTGTGATCATGAAATACCCCTCCACTACATCCTTATAAGATGGATTTAATGCTGCATCAACATAAACCTGGATTCAATCAGATGGAGAAGGATGCCAATACAGATTAGACAGCCTAGATGACTGGTTAGCACACATATACCCGAGTTTCTACTAGCACCAAAAGCAGAGATAGAAGCATAGCTCACAAAATTAGAAACAAAGGCCAATGAGTTATCCTCATTCCCTTTTAGAATCAAAATGTTTCTTGATTTCCCTAAAAGGAACACCACATTGCAATACAAATTTACCAAAAATGAATTCTATTTGGGGAACTAATTACAACATTCAACAAGTGATTTAAAGGCTAAAATAACAAGCCCCCACCTATTAATGTGTTGTAAAACATCCAGCAGTTTTTTACACATAACTACAACATACTCATTATATTAGTCTTCATTATAACTCCTAGGAGATCCATTTTCCCTTTACAATCTCCTATAAGATAAAAATTATATGTAGGAAGAGCATTGTTATAAATTCTCCACCAGAATACCTCCACACGTGGGTTCAAATTGATCTTTCTAATCTAATTGTAGAATTGAATTGGAGTAGTTTGCTAAACGGAAGCTTCAAATGCAAGGGCAGAAATAAACATTCCAAATATTTGCCAAAGTAATTCGATCCTATCTTTTTCCATTTCAAAATGTATTTGGATTTGACCTATAAGATTAGCAAGTTTGACCCCCATTTACTTACTGATTTCTGCCACATTCCAGTAGCCATCTACTATGAATTTATCCACTATGAAGTTACTGAGGTCATGAGTAACAAAAGGTTGCCATCTACTTAAGCTTTTGTCCATCACCAAGGTGTCATTTAATACTTCTATTGACATTTAATTTTAATTGATTCATCTAATTATTGGTTTTAAAGATTTACCTCAATCAGAGTTGATTTTCCAAGTTGTAGAACCACCCTTCTTCACCAAGTCATCCATAAACAGGCCTCCATGTTTTGGATAAAACACCTTATGTAGCAATGAGTCTTCCTCTTGAACATACTTCAAAGCAATCTTAATTCTCAAAGATCCAACTTTATTAGAACAAATGTAGAGCTCTACCTCTCAATTTTAAAGGCAAACACATTACATTCGAATTCACAAAGCGAATTCCATGTCTTCCATTCACTTTATTCCAAATGAAATTTCTACAAAGTTTATCAACTTCATCAAGAACACCATTGGGAATCAACGAATTGGTGCAGTGGAATGTTCTGTAAGAGAGCAGAATAGTTTTAACAAGCATGATTTTACCAACGAAAGAAATCATCTTTCCTCCCCAAATGTTAATCATCTTTAATGTATTATTAACAATAAAATGGTAATCATCTCCTACTAGACTTCTAAGAGCAAATTTTTCCCCAATCTAAGACAACTCTTTAACAGTTTTGAACCCCATAATCATAGAGATAGCTTTTTTATTCCTTCTATCTATTGATTTACCAAAGAGCAAGTAGGATTTATCGATATTTATTTTTTGCCCAGTCCATCCAAAGAATTTATCCAAAATTGCCTTAATCTCCATAACTATCTTTAATTTGGCTTCAAAAAATATAATTACAACATCTACATACAACAAGTGGGAAATCCTTGGCCCATTTGAACTCACATAAATTCCAATAGAATCTCCTTTTTACCTAAAGGCATTAGGTAAAAGTTGGGAACAAAGAATAAATAGATATAGAGATAAGGGGAAACCTTGATGGATGCCACTTCTAGTATTAATCCAACTGGAGGTATTGCCAATAATCAAAATAGAGAATCTTGGTCTTTGGACACACTAAAAAATAAGCTTAGAGAACTTCGATGGGAATCTAAAATAATCCAAGTCTTTCACTAGAGTTGGCCACCCCATTGAGTCATAAGCCTGCTCCATATCAATTTTGAGAGAAATAAAACCTTTGGAGGACTTAGAGTACCTGAATTAATGAATAATCTCTTGTGCTACCAACACATGATCTGATAAGGATCCACCTTTCAAAAAAGCCACTTGCTTTTCAGGTATCAATCTAGGAGTAATTGAAGACATCCTGTTCATATGGACCTTCGCTGCAACCTTATAAACTGTGTTGAACAGACTAATGGGCATAAAATTCGATGGAGCCAACGAGTTGCTCACCATAGGAATTAGAAGAATAAGAGCCTCTTTCCACTTTGAATTCATATATGCCGTCTCAAAGAAATGATTAACAGCATTCCAAAAGTCCCAATAGGCTTTAATAATAGAGTAGGTAATACCATTACTACCTGTAGCAGTGTAATTACCACTTCGCTTGATCACAACATCCACTTCTTCAATAGAAAATTCTTTTTTCAACAAATTTCTATCATCTTCATCTAAAATCTTCCATAGGTGTGGCCAACATTCAAGAAGACAATTTCTATCTTTCCATTTATCTTTGAAAACCGAACCAAGACCTCTTCAATTTGATGTAGATCTTCCACCATGTCTCCATTCTCATCTTTAATTTTGACAATGTAATTAGAATTTCTTCTTGCCAAAGCAAATTATTGGAAAAATTTTGAATTGTAATCACCCTCCACCATCCACTTGACTTTGGCCCTTTTGTCTCCATCATGCATCTAACCGTGCTAGAGTTGAATTGGGTTCCCCCACTTTTACTGTAAGAACCCAACTATCTTCCTCCGAAAGCTCGCTATCATTAGCTAGTTTGGTTTTTAGCTCCTCAATTTCCTTCAGCAAGGACTCCTTCCATTGAAATAAACTTATATGTTTAGCTTTGCTCTAGTAAAATAATGCCTTCAAGTATTTTTTCATCTTGGAATTTAGTATTTTAGGCAAGCTAGCTGCAATTTTTCTCAATCAAACCCCTCTCACCACCACAGCTGAAGCCTTATTGAAGCCAAACTATCTTCAAATATGAATACTCTTTTAAGCAAAGGTTAGAATTCAAGTAGATTTAAAATGATATGATAGTGGTATGAAGAAACACGAGCTAGATGCCTAACTACCATTCGATGTGAAGTGTTTAGTGTAGCAGAATTCAAAATGCATTTATCCAATCTTTCAAGGATCTGAACTGCCCCAGATTTGTTATTACACCAAGTGAATTTTGTTCCAATGTACCCAACCTCATGAGAATCATTCCAAGACAAAAAGGTTATCATTTCCTTAGGTCTTAGAGAAAAGGTAAATCTTTTCCCTCCCCTCTTGTCTTCCTTGGACAGTATATAATTAAAATCTCCCCTTATTACCATAGGAAAATCCTTGGAGGAGTAGAAATCAAGCTTCTCCCAAAGTCTCCTCCTTTTATAGACGTCCTTATTTCCATATATTGAAGCAATTATTCACCTCCCTTTATTATGAACCTCCAAATCACCAATAACAAATTGCGGGAAGGATTCCAAAACTTGAAAAATAGCAATGCTAGACTTTCATATCAATAGAATGCCCCCATATAACCCTTCTGAAGAAACTTGGAAAAATTCCCAATCGGAACCAAATTACAAATCTACAACCCTCCTTTCAATATTTGACATTTTTTTTTCCAACAAACCAAGAAAAAATACACCATGAACCTTCACAACCTGTTTCAAATATAGAGAAGCTTTGTTCTTTCTAGATCCTCTACATTTCCAAAATGCTATGGATGACATTATTGGATATTAGGGGATGAAATCCCCATTTTATCTTTATTCTCACCATCCACTCTCCTACTCCTAGGAGCAAATTAATAGGTCCCAAACCTTTAAGTTGCTTGGAGCCACTTTCCTTAACTTTAGAAGAACCATCTTCCTTGCATCCCAAATCTACATTTATTTCCTCCAAGTTATCTTCAATCTTCCTTCTTCCACTCTAATAGTACCATTCAAGCCACCCTATGAGGTAGCAACATTTTCCTTTGGGATAATAATCTCCTTCCTCAACCAACCCATCTAAAACATTGAATTTATTTTCATTAACAGAAGTAACAGAGGTTTTGATTTCCATAACAACTTTGATGTTCGAATCCCTTGAATTATCTAGAACTTCCTGAGCCAATCTAGATCCAAGTTCATCACATTATTTTTACTCCCATAGCTTGAACAGTCTGCCATGCATATTGTGATAGAGAATCTTCATCTACTACATGGCCATGTTCCACCATGTAAGGAATTAGCCACACCGATTAGTTACACCAGCATTGCCTCCTAAAGAATTAGCTTCCAAAATGTTTGTATTCTTTCTCACTGAAGCCTCCACTGGATAGGGATTAATCCTCCTAAAAATAATATTTTTATTTCTTCTTTTCCCATATTTAACGTGCACCCATGGACAATAACCTCCTTTATCATCATTGGAGCCATCAACCATAGAATTACTTGTTGCTTTGGAACAATCTACCTCCATTGGCTTTAATGAACTTTCCACCTATTTTGAAACATTAGTAACCTCATTTTTATCATCCAAGCAATCCTTCTTAAAGTGATGAATCCTGCCACATTTGAAACATAAATTAGGAATTCTCTCATATTCAATCTTCTAAAAGAATTTTCTAGAGCTTCTCTCCACCCAAACTCCTAGAGGCAATTGAGCATCAAACTTAATGCGAAAACAAATCCTCCCAAACTCTCTTCTTCCCCACTGAAAAATGTTTCCATCAATCAAATATGGTTTTCTGACCATAGATGCAATTCTGCAAATATTTATTTCATCCCAACACTATAAGGGTAGGGTAGGCATCCTAATCCAAATAGGATCAGTCAAGCCCTTTAAGGAGGTCGAGAAAAGGTTGGCGACCATCTATCAATTCCAATGATCTACCCATTAATGAACCATGGTCCATTTGAGAGGATAGATTCTAACAGAAATTGCACATAAAACAAATAAAGAACCCAATATATACCCAACATTTTGAGATGGAATTTACCATAAGGAGCCCATTGTCTTCTAAGCCCAGAACTGATAACTGGAAAAGGAACATTTCCACCAAAAAACTTGATCACTAATGATTTTTTCAAGTTTTCTAGAATTATCCAATTCATTTTGTATTTAAAGTTTAATAGATGTACCATCTTCTGACAAGCAGTCTCCAAAATCCAGATTAAGGAGCTTTATATTTTCTTTCCTACACCAAGCATTCTGTTGAGCACTAGTAGTCAGTCTTGGAAGATCAAAAACAAGACCTTGAAGATGACCACATAATTTTCCTGAATTAAAATCTCAGACTTTAACCATATATGAATGAATTACTTCCATCAGATTGTATGCAATGCCAATCTCTGCAACACTTCTTTGAATAAATTTTCACTTAATGACTTGATTGTCTTTTAATCTAAATCCTCCCTGCTCAATAAACTCAAAATTCAACTCTTAGTGACTCCACTCACAGACAAATCATTACCCATATTATTTCTTACAGAGATTGACTTTGAAGAAGGAGAGACTCCCTCATTAACAAATGACTCACCTCATAATAATGAAAGTTTCCCAATTTGATTTTAATATTTGTATTATCTTCCATTACCACATTCCTAACCTTCACAATAACTTCAATATCATTTTTCTTTGATGATAAAAAAACTACTTCATTATTGATTAATGGCTTTCCCACCTTCACCATAGCTTTTGCCCCTTGAATGAATCCAATTTTCCCGTCTCCAAACACCGTTGGAGAAGACAAGAAAGTATGGGCTAGAGCATAAGAATTTCTTAATGATGATCGTCGAATGCCAATAGGACCACAGGCCATCAGAGGCCAATGACCCTCCACCAACATCAGAACAAACACAAAAACAGCAACATTACAAATTTGAAAAACCCGTAAATCCTTTCTAATTCTTGAGACCTTCTTTCTTTAGCTTCTCTCTCTAGCTTCTCTAGCATTGAATCAAACTTGGATATAATATTAACTATGAATATTGATAAACCCAATTTTGTACACTATCATTCATCTGTATGAACTAACTTCGTACAGTACAAACATTAAGCAAAAAAATTTTTTTGGGACAAACTGGAACACACCCGATTTTGTACACTTTTAGTTGTCTATACAAACTTACTTCATATAGTATGAATAGTATAAAAATAAAAGCCATGATTTGATTAACTACATTTTGGAGGAAAAATATGAAAAATTGTAGCATTGAATCAAACTTGAATATAATATTAACTATGAATATTGATGATCCCAATTTTGTACACTATCATTCATCTGTATGAACTAACTTCGTACAGTACAAACATTAAGAAATTTTTTTTTTTTGGAACAAACTGGAACACACCCGATTTTGTACACTTTTAGTTGTCTATACAAACTTACTTCATATATTATGAATAGTATAAAAATAAAAGCCATGATTTGATTAACTACATTTTGGAGGAAAAACATGAAAAATTGTACAGTACGATTGGAAGTCGTACAGTATGATTAGTTTTAAATTTTTAATTTTTGAATCTCTCCCTTTATGTGTGTGCACAGTTAACCAATTACCATCACACACTCTAGGACTCAAGAAAATAAAAAATAAAGATTTATAAACTTTATTACATGAAATTTTAATATACTATCTTGAAGTCTTCAAAAATCTGGAGTGTAATTACCCTGAAATGTTAGTTCACACTCATAAAAAATAGAAAATGTCCAGTACATGCTTTGAGAAATAATAAAATTAATAGAACAATAATATTTTGCTATCATAAAAAATCACATTCTCAATATTTTTTTTGAGAGAATGCATAAATTGCATTAAAATGAAAATGTAGAAAATCTATTACAATCTAGGAAAAAGAACCTATTGATTCCTTTTCCCAAAAGAAAAAAGGAACTTATTAAAGATAAATTTGTTAATTTAAACTTCTTATAACTGAAATGAAATCCACTATTCCCTATTTTGAAACTGTTGAGATGTAGGGGATACCAAAGAATAAAACAACCCGAGGGTTGATTAATATTCCCGAGTTCCCATCCGTTAGAGAATAAGAATTAGTAAAGATCTCATTAACAATTAGGCAAAAATTAAAATAACAAATTAAACTAAGAAAAAAGAAATGCATGCTAAAAATAAAATAACAATTAAAAAATAAATCTCAAATGTTTGGAAAATATATTCCAAACTTTAATATCATGAGCTCTATCTTAAAACAAAAACTCTGCTTTGTTGCTATCCACCTGAGAATCCTTCTTCATATTAGTGAGATAAAAAGGAAGAAGAATCTTTCAAACTATTGTTCTCTTTGTGTTCAACCGTCTTCCTTCTAGGTATTTCTTTCAATGGTCCCAATGATTGAAGTTCTTTGAATAAGACATGCTTAGACCCAGAGGAAACATTCTTCTTAAGAAAGTTTTTATCTTTTTTAAGAAGATTTCTTTTTGAATTTAAAACTAATATCTGAAGGAGGAGAGGAAGACTCATTGATTGAAGTATGAATGTAATTACCATTTGCATTATTTGCCGCCAAGTTAGTAGATGGTTTAGAAGCCCCCAAGATTTCGGCCTCCTTAAAATGAGGAGTAGCCAATTCAGCTCCGTGAACCTCCTGAGCATCTGATTTGTTGAATTCAAATTCAGATTTGCTAGAAATCTAAATTTCAGCAAATTGATAAGGATCGGATGAAATCAGAATCACGTTCTCAATATGGATTCCTGAGTTGTAACATAAAAAAGTATGTAAAGTTAAAAGCAGTTGTGTAATAACCTAATGCTTTTAATAAAGTACGAAAATAGACTAAGTGCAACAACATGAATTTGTAATGTATAAAATCTAAATTACCAAAATAAATAAGCATACATAAGGTACTTTCAAATCATAGCACCTAGAAAGCTAATCAAACTCCAGCCTAGCCTAGGCTATATTTGGTTGTCCTAACAAATCAAGTAAGTGTGACTAGAAAGGTTATGTTGCTTGGATAGTTCCTAGGATTTATAAATTTAAATAATCTATAAATTTATTTATTTATTCAAGATATTTAAAGGATAGTTTGAATTTAAGTTTTATTCATTTAGAGATTTTACATTTCTTTTAAAGATTTTTTTATTGTTGAAATTATTTGCCTTTATGTTTTAGATAACATAGTATTCAACAACTTATAAGTGTCAAAAGTTTTTGGTTTTTATATCATAGACTAAAAAATGTTATACTAATAATTCTCCTTAACTACTTGATATTTATAGCATAGATACTTTCAATTTAATTATATTTTTTTCCTCAAAGCTTCCCAAGTTAATACACCTTATCCACCTAAAAGGAAGCAAACATAAGGGTATGAATGTTATAATGTCTATATATTTTGTTAATTATTTTACTTAAATTTAATTTATTATTTATTGAATTTTAATTTTTATTTATAAATTCATTTGTGGTATTATCACAATGAGCATGAAGGCCCAAAGCCTCATTAGGACATGTAGTCATGTAGATCAAAGTATACCAGTATAAAAACTTCTATGATAAAAAAAATTCATTTTTTAATTTTTTGATATTTCTTTATTTAAGTTCATTGGATTAAAATTTTAATGAAACCTTAATGATATATTTATTTATCATTCTTTCATTAATATTTTGAAATTACTAGATGGACAAGAGGGGGGGGGGGGTGAATTGTGAAAAGTTTTTGACAATAGTTAAAACCTAAGCAGGAGTTCTAATATTTTTGATGTTTTAAAATTTTAACATGAAAATTTAAACTATTTTTTTCACAAATTTTTCCAAGCAAATATTGAAAAATAAAATGCACGGAGTAATAAAAGACATTAAGGAAAAAGCACACCGAGATTTTTATAGTGGTTCGGTCAAACCATGACCTACATCCACTTCTCGGAGTCCTCCACTCCGGCTATTTCACTACAAGCAATAGCTCTCCTTTTGCCCCCCTTGGCAAGGTGGAGAAGCCCTTACAATACTCCCTTTCACCAACCCGGCGTGGCGGAGTACCAAACACTGTTTTCAGCCTCCTGACGACGGCAGAGAACCTTCTCATTTTTCTCCCTCCTGGAGAAGGAAGAGTACCTTGAGGTCATAGATGTAGAAGAGCCTTTCCCCTTGGAGATCCTCGCACAAATTCTTCTAAGGCCACAGAAGGAGCAAGATGCAGTAAGTTCGGAGCAACCGTGTGATCTCCCTCACACCTATTCTCCCTCACAACGCTCATCTTCTCCTTCCTCTCTCAAACCTTAAAGAACTTCTCAAGAGTTCTCTCCCTCGGAATCCCTCTCTCACCACGTTCTCCTCTCTAATTCACACCCTCAAAATATGATAAGTTTTTCACCTCAAAAAGGGCTCCAAAATCTCTGAGATTTCAAAAGTAGCCATTACTATCATACAGTACGGTTTCTAATCGTACAATAGGATATGTAAAAACAGACTTCATCCTGGTACGAAGTGGTACGAATGTTCAAACCACTCGTACAATACTATTATAAATCATACGGTACGATCCATAACACTTCTGTTCGTACAGGACGATAGTCGGGACGATCAAACATCGTCCCTGTTCATCGTATGGTATGATTTCCATCGTACAGTACGATGAGACAAAATCAAAGAGATCATCCAGGATAATCTTCAGGACGATTATATTTCATCTCTGTTCATCATATTGTACGAATGTGTTTGTACGATAGGATGTTCAAATTATAATTAAGCCCAGATTTCTTGCGCTAATTACAGATTAAATTAAGTAAGTATTTAAACAAAATTGTATAGTACAAAGATGTTCGTACAGTATGAGCGGCTGAATATAACTTACTTAAGTTAAAACGGCTGCTAGGGTTTTGGCTTTGAACATATCATACAGTACGAATACATTCGTACGGTACGACCTATTCACAGAATCGTCCTATAAAGCTCTGATCGTACGATACGAAATAACATTGTACAGTACGATCTACAGAGAAAGAAAAAACTCTAAATTTTTCATTTAAAAACACTCTCCCCCTGTGTGTGTGCATGGTTGCTTAGACTTTTATGCATTTTGTGGCCAGACTCAAGAAAATAAATATAAAATACATTGCAGACTCATACTCCTAATCTACCCATTCTTGAGTCTTCCTTTCGTCCTTAGTAGTTTTTGATCTTCCTGAAATGTTAGTACTCACAGACAATAACAAATAAAATAATATTCAAAGAATAGATGATTCAAACGACATTATTTGTCATCATCAAAATCTCAAACTCGAGGTCATGGGTTGCAACAATCTTCCCCTTTTTGTTGATGTCAAATAATATTTGTTGTAAGCAAGTATTAAAGGTATTTTTTTTTCAATTTTAATTTAAACATAAGAACAAGCAGAAAAGAAATAAAAGAAAAGGCATTACAAAAGAAAAAAAAAACATGCATTTAACCGTAGAAACAAAGTACAACAACCTTCTCCCCCTTTTGACAACACCAAAAAGAGGAGCACACACTAAAAAAGAAAAAAACAACTACAATACAAAGATAATTTATAGTGGAGGATCCTGATCAGTAGGTGGTGGAGGTGGGTTTGGTTGGAAGTACTGAAAGAGAGTGTCAAAGCGCTGATCAATAGCAGTAAAGCGTTCTCCAAACCAATGCATATCTGTCTCATGTTGCTGATAATGTTCTTGAATGTGAGTATTGTGATGAGTCTGAAGCTGGTCGAAACGTTCGACCAGATCATCATGAGGGTAAGCAGATGCAGGTGCTCGAGGTGGTGCATGTCATCATAGATGTTCTTGAGCTGCAGTTGGGGGATCTTCCCCTTCTTCTTCGTCAAAAATAGGTTCTTTCGG